CACTAGCTGTTAAAAATGTCCATGTTGGGAGTTCAGAGAGGAAAAAAGATTTGAGTTTGTGACCCAAGAATTGTTGCCCCATACCCACATTAATGATCACCAACCTCTCCCTCACACATTAATTCTTCATCATATAGTCGGAGAAGCCCTCACCCTTGCCGCTATCTAACTCTAGGAATATATAGCATAGTCTACCACCATGGTTGAGTTCAGGTGGACTGGCTTCATTCCAGACACAATTTCTCAGTACCTTTGTGTCTTCATTGTTAAAATGAAGACATTAGTATCTGGCTTTTATAGCATTATATGAAAATTAAGTAGGATAATTCGAAGTGCCTAAGTGCCTAGTACATCCTAAGCAGAATATTCAGTAATTTAAAGTGGTTCCTGAAGTATAGGGTCAAATGTAGTTCTTTCATATTTCAAGTAGTTATGAGCCTAGGTCACTTTTTTTTTTTTTTTAATGGTCACTTAGTTTTGAAAGAGAGATGGTGAGGGGCAGAGAGAGGAGGAAACAGAGGATCTGAAACAGGCTCTGTGATAACAGCAGAGAGCCCAATGTGGGGCTGGAACTCATGAACCATGAGATCATGACCCGAGCTGAAGTCAGATGCTTAACCAACTGAGGCACCCCGGCGCCCCAAGCCCAGTTCTCTTCTGCCCCAGACCTACCACTTAACTCTCTTCAGTGAGGTTGGTTTCCACTCATTGTCTCAGATTGCTTAGTCATCCTATAGATCGTATAGCAATTATTGTTTGTACCACATATATTTGCATTTAATTATATGCTATCATAACTTAATGTGGGCATGACTTTGCTTTCCCAAATAGGTTGCACTTGGGAAATTTTGATACACTTTTCCATATTATTATTTCTTCTTCTAAAAGTAATCTTAATTTTTGCCTTCATTCATCCATTCAACAAATATTTATATTTATTTTCAATTATATGTAGGCCCCTGGAATATACAGAAGTGACCAGACAAAGGCCCTGGATGTTACTTCTAGCAGGGAGAAACAGAAAATAAACCATCAATTGAGTAGATAATGCTTTTCTTGAGAGTGTTGGGAATAGTGGTGTTACTTTTGCTATGTTTTAAATTAATTTATTTTTGAGAGTAGGGAGAGGGGCAGAGAGGGGAAGAGAGAGAATCCTAGGCAGGCTCTGCACCGAGTGGGACTCAGTCCCAAAAACCGTTGAGATCATGACCTGGAGTGAAATTAGGAGTCAGATGCTTAACCAACTGAGCCACCCAGGCACCCCTAATTTTTCTATTTAATAGGAACTTGAGTAAAGGCCTAAGGAAGATAGGAATAAGTTATGCAGATATCTGGGGGAAGAGAGTTCTAGACAGAACAGCAAATGCAAACTTCCTGAGGCAATAGCATGCATGGCTTGTTGGAAGCCCAGCTAGAGGACCACAGTCTAGAACAGAGTAACCTGGAGAAGAGTGGCAGCTGGTAAGGTCAGGAAGGCATCAAGGGACAAGACTCCATAAGATCCATGACCACTGTCAGGATTATAATTTTCATATGAATGAAATAGGAAGGGGTATGGATGATCTCATTTAAACTCTAAAAAGTTCATTTTTGTTTATTGTACAAAGAATACACCATGCTAGAGGAGTCAAGGGTAGACACCAGAGATGCTTGGGCAATTGTAATAATCCAATTACAACAATTTAATTATTATATCTTCATTTACTATTCTGCATGATGGCTATTCATGAGTATACTTTATCATCCTACCTAAGTTACAAATTTTGTACAGGTCAGGATTCCAACATGTTTATATTTTTAGACATTAGAATTCTTAACACAGAAAATGTTTTTTGGTGTCCAAGGAGTGCAAAACTAAATTATCATCACTTCTCATCCTTCTTTAACCCCTCCTTACATACCTTCCCCACTCTGCTACACCCGGAATATCTTCCTTCCTTTCAGAATTCTTCCTAATACAGTGTGCACATGTCAGGCAGCATCTCCTTCTATTGTAAAGGAAAACAAAAAACAAAACAAAACAAAACTAGAGTGGGTGTGAAGAACAAAGATATGTTAAAAAGGAAGAATACACAGTCCTAATTCTTTTTTTTTTTTATTTTTTTTTCAACTTTTATTTATTTTTGGGACAGAGAGAGACAGAGCATGAACGGGGAGGGGCAGAGAGAGAGGGAGACACAGAATTGGAAACAGGCTCCAGGCTCTGAGCCATCAGCCCAGAGCCTGACGCGGGGCTCGAACTCACGGACCGCGAGATCGTGACCTGGTTGAAGTCGGACGCTCAACTGACTGCGCCACCCAGGCGCCCCCACAGTCCTAATTCTTAAGGAAACGTGTGTGTTTGACCAATTTCATATATTTGATATAATTATCTCCTAGTTCACCTTAAAACTATACATATTTTATATAAATATCTTATGATTTTATGAAATAGAATGCCATTCCTAGGTCTTGCTTTCCCAATTTGTAGAATTCCACTTATGGTAATTTTAGTAATTTAAATCTTAGCTAAATAGTGTAATTTGAGAATATTTCCACAGAAATCCAAGGAATTAATACCAAATTTTGTTTTGTTTTGGTTTTTGTGTGTGTGTGTGTGCATGTGTGTGTGTCATTCAAGGGTTTTCCTAATGTATGTCTTGAAAAGCTTTGGGTTGGGACCAATAACAATTATAAAATATAGTTACCCAGGCAAGGAGACATAAAAAGCTCCTTTTTCATTTTTCACAGTGTAGACGTTGAATTCTGTTCTTTGATGATCCCCGATATGCCAGAGCAGAGGAGTAGTGCTTATGCTAAGACCAGGAGTTATAACCCAGATTTGGTCTATGAAAGTTTTAGTATCTAAAGGCCAGTTAATCTCTGTGGTCTTCCAGATACCTCCCCAAATAAAAGTAAAGCTGTTCCTGCCTCAAGGGAAAGGAAAATGCCGGGCAGAGTATTCTAAATCAGACTTTCATGGTAAAATACCCATTAATAATTAATTTTCTGCTTCCTTTAGAATAGGACAGGTTAAGCAGTTGGTCACATTTAGTAAATAAGAAATTACTTGCAGTAATTTCTACAACATTCTGATCATCTTTCCATTTCTGAAACCTATTTTAAAAGTCTTTGATCTACATTAAGGAGGAAAGGACATTGAATATAGAAATATAAGACTTGATTATGAATTCTACTTTGTCACCTGCTAATAGTGTGGCTTGGGCAAGTCATTTAACCTAAACATTGAATTTATTTTTCAGTGATGAATTGGACATAGCAATCCATACCCCACAGGGTATGTAATGAGCACCAGACAGGATAATGTGTGAAGGCCATGAATACAGAGGTCACACAATCAACACTTGATGAGCCCATATATTAAATACAAGCATTGTAATGATCACAGTCCTAGTAGTGGTAATTCAGTTCTACCCAATACATGTAGACATGTGATCTTTTGAAATGGGAAATATGTCCCCTTTACCTTTTTCTACATATCATTAAGAATGACAATATACCATAATTGTTTAATTATGTCATTAAGGTGAGTTTTATTTTCTTCATTAATTACATAAGGAAAAGCTTTTCAATTAATAATGACCTTTATGACTTTACTAGTTTGGATTCTGTAGATGGTGAAACTGCCTGCAAATTAGATTCTGCAGTGTACCTTGTTCCTTATTTTTTCACCCACTGATTAGTTTTATACAGTTGGCAGCAGCCTACCCTGTTGCATTCAGCTTGCAATTTTGTAGCAATCTCAAACACTGTGTTCAATCCCCCAAGGTGTTCTGTAGAAATGCTGTCAAACTATTTCGATGTATGTGTATTTTCATTCTGTGGCTGTGCTTTGTACTCATTTAAGAGAACTAGTGTTTAATTTGTATCAGAACGTTTTCAAGATGAAACATAGAATTCCAGGCCTCAGCAAATTCACTGATATATGACCACAGCTTTCTTCTGTTGTAAATCATGATGTCTGACTTCTATTAGATACAAAGCTATATTTTTGAATCTTGTTGTAGAATACAACTTTGAATAAATGGCATCAAAATTGGCCTGAAAATCCACTAATTGTCATCAGGCTTGCTATCATCATCTGGCTCTAGTCTACCTTTCCAATTTCATATCTCACCCCTCCTACCCTATATCCCATGCGTGTTTGTACTTCCTTGAAATGTATAACTTTCTCTCACCTTCCTCTGGTGTTACCCACATATGACCTCTGTCTAAATGTGATGTCTCCTGTTCCTTACCCTTTATTCCAGGCATTTCCTGTTCCACAAAGCATTTCTCTATACCCCCCAATACCCCTTCTGAGTCAAGTAACTCTTTTGTAACTTGTGCCTGATTTAATAAAATATTCTTTCTGTATATAGTATTGATTGATTTGCTTGATTAGCTTCCTTACTAGACTAAAAGTTTTAGAGAGCAAGGGTAATATCATGTGTAAATCCCTAAATAGTAGATGCTTTGTAAATGTTTCTTGGACAAATTAATGCTTCCTAGAAAGACTATGTATGGTCAGTTTATTGAAAAGACAGCAAGAATTTGCTACTAAACATACCATATAAGCCTTGTCTCATTTAATTATAAGAGCAATATTATCAGTAAAATGCAGTTTATAGTTTCAGAATACAAGCTTACCACTCTGCAAATGCATAATTTAAAAAATTGACATGATATGGTACTATTCTATGCTTTCTCTCTAGTATCTAATGCATTATATTCGAATTGGATTTGGTTAAAACAGGCCAACTCATGGACCTTTTTTTCTACTTCTTATAATTTCAAAGAAAAAAAATGTTTCAATGTTGAAAATTATTACTTGAACTATTTTAACTTAAGTTTACTCATCATCCAGAGAGAATCAAAAAGGATTTTGACTGGCTTCAAGTTAAAACATGTGCATGTCATCACACACACACACACACACACACACACACACACACACACACATTTAAAACAAAAGAAAACCGTATGCAGGTATTGTTTCACGTTTACATTGGGAATGGAAGATGTACCAGTGTGTTCATATGTTCGTATCTTCTGCATTACCGTCTGATATTTGCATTTGATGCAGCACTATAATTCAGCATACGGACATGCACTCGGAGCAAAGATAACGTTGTCTTTCATTTTAATTTTGATTAATAGTGTTCTGTCTCTGGTAATTTGTAGGTGTTATTTGGAAGATGGAGCTTCAAAGGGTGCCTGGCTGAACCGGTCAAGTATTATTTTTGCGGGAGGTGATAAGTGGTCAGTGGATCCTCGAGTTTCAATTTCGACATTGAATAAAAGAGACTACAGCCTCCAGATACAGAATGTAGATGTGACAGATGATGGCCCGTACACGTGTTCTGTTCAGACTCAACATACACCAAGGACAATGCAGGTGCATCTAACTGTACAAGGTACGCATTTCTGTAACTGCTATATTGTGAAGGACTGTACTTAAAACAGGGTTCAATATTTAGATATCAGAATGACTCAGAAGTAACTGACATTGTTGAAAGATATGTTGTCATTATCTTCAGGGATTTATCTTCCTAGATTCCATTAAGTATAATGGCTATTATAGATGTACAAATCCCGACTTGCCAAGATCAAAAATTATCCATTAACACCACATTATGATTTTTTTGTGTATGATTCACTCAGTATCTTCCTTTGAGTCACCTCGTCAATAAATCTTTGAGAACCCATGATTGATACATTAAACTTAATCTTTGATAACTCATGATGGATACATTAAAATATTAGAACTTTAAAAAAATTATATATATATATATATATATATACATATATAGTAACTCTTTAAAAGTAATCCTCCAGACTGCTAACACTCTGTTCTCAATCCAAATTCTGCCTACATTAATTCAAGTCACAATGGAAAGAAACAGACTTCTAGAATTACTTTATTTAAATATAGAGTTATTGAAAAAACATGGTACACAATGCTTTATACTTTGATTTACTCTCAGAAGATCATAAATCATTCTAGCTAACTTGCAGTCTCCAAATACAAACTGAATCATCAAGCTATTTTATTTTTCCTGCATACTAAAATGTAAGAGCATATTTATCCGCAATATAAATACTTTTCAAGAAAAATGCAATTATAATGCTAGTAGAATAGAAAATGTATATTCTTGCCCTTTTACATTATTTCCTTGTGCTTTACAGATTAATCATGTGTTTGTTGCATAGAAATATTAGGCTGTGGATCTCAAAATGACATTGCAGCATTTCTAAGTAAAATTAATAACAAATTATATGATAATGTGGTGCCAGTGAGTGCATGTTTTATTCCTAATAGGAAAGCTGAGTGAGCAAGTTAGTTGTGTTATCTCTCCGTTTATCCTTCAAATATTCAACTGTAACTATTAATTTAGGTACATGGCTTATATCTGGAACTTTATTAACTTACATCTGGAACTTTATTTCCTCATATAAAGAGGTAAACCTGAATTCAAATACAACTTCAATTATTAGTAAGTATTTTAAATTTGTAATAAAGGTTAAACGTATTAGTTAAATAATTAACTTTCAGGAGGCAAATATAAGGCAAACAAGTCTGTAAATTTCCTCAATGGTTTTTCTTACTACAGAACATTGCACACTGTGGCGATGTTCTTTATTTAAAATCATATGAGAATAGAATAAAGTTTACACCAAAGTCTATCTTTATTCAGAGATTATCCAGAGATGCTAGAGGGCAGGAGTTGGTCCAGCTTCAGAAACCAGCATGGGATTACAAGTCAAAAACACATTTCTACTGTTATCTAAGCCCAATCTTGTTCTCTTGTTTATTTCTGTGCCCTTTGACTTGACTTTCTACCTCAAGGACTGCAAAATATTTTTATTACATGAGAAAAAAGTATACTTGGGTAATAATATATTTGAGTCACTGGAGATGTAGTCATTTTGGTTCTTAATAGGTTTAAGTGATGTATTTCTAGACACGAAATGTATCCCTCTCCCTCTTTCTTTTTTTCCATTCTCTCTTGTTCCATAGTAGCACTGTATTTTTAAGCCAAACTATGGCTATATGAGCTGTGCCCAGGCACATGTTTAATTTTCATAGGATTGCATCATAACTTTATGCTACATAGACTGTTTCACATCATACAGATTTTTTTAAACTGTTACATGCCTTACTATTGCATTCTTTTTTGTTGGCCATTTGATAATGGTGAACTTTTAAATTCCATTTTTGGAAGCGCATTGTGGGAATGCCAATATTCAATGCTTTATTAGAATATTTTGTTCTTCTAGAAAAATAAAATTCATGTTACAGTTTTGAGAGTATGTGTTTGGGTCAAATTAAAAGCTAATAATTTTACAGTATTTATGAACATAATTACTTATTAGAAGTTGATTGACATGTGGGCAGTTTTCCAATTACATTAATAAAGTTCAGGGAATACATTAATAGGCTTGTCAGTCAATTCAAGAACTAAATAAATGTCACAAAAAGTCAACCCCACTTAAGCTACATTTTCTCTTGATGAATGAGAATAAGCTGATGTGCCCCTCTCTTCAGTCTTTATATTTCTTAGGTTGTCTGCTACTCAGGTATATCTCAATAGTTTTGAAGTATATGCTCTGTGCCTAACAATTTGTCAAGTCTTTATTCACCAAGATAAAGAAACATAGCAAGTGAGAGAAGACTGTATTAATCACTGATGTCAAACACACACATTGGCTAGTAAAAACAAAGCTCATCTTTAATTGTTGCAACTGCGTGCTCCAGGGATATTAAAAAAAATCATTTTAGAAAGGGGATAATAGAAAGGATATCTTGCCAACACAGACATTGTGCATGGGAAATTTGTCAGTGCTATTGATTTCTTAGAGCTATTAATACCAGTGAATGGAACAATGGGGGAGAAAAAGCACTAGAGTAGGAGTTGGAAAACCTGGATTCCAATCCTGAGTTTTCTCTCATGAAATGGGTAATTATCAAGCCTCTCTAAACTCTAGTTTTCACATTTGAAAGAGGAGGACTCAAACCAGAAGATCTTAAGGTCCCTACCAGTGAAAAACAAAAAGATGACCAACACAACAAAAAAAAATGAAAACAAAAAAACCTGAACCAGTCTACCAACCAACCAAACAAACAAAAAACAAACAAATAAAACACTGATGATTTGCAAGGGAAAATATTATTTAGGTATGAAAAATATCCCGTACCACTTGTACCATGCTTGCATTGAACACAGTGAAAACTGAGTTGTGCATAGCAGTACCTTTCAGTATATAGTCTGCAGGTCTGTTGTGTTTATCTCCATGTTTTGCTTTCATCAACTTAGCCGAACAATGTATATACTCATGAAATTTGAAGAATGTGGCGAATTGGAGTTTTACTTCAAGGGCATAGAAATAGACTCAGGAAGAAGATAAAATTTTGATTGCCTATATATAATATACCACTGATAAAGCTACCTAAATGTCCAGTGTTTCAAATCATGTGATAAAGAATTTACTAAGCATAATGTTTCTTTTTCATGAGTGTAAAAGTGTACAAGGCTGGAAGACTTGCTATGAAGCTTGAGTTCCCTAGTACAATCCTGTAATGATAGGAATCATGAAATGTAAATGCTGCACACTTGAGTATATGATAGAGATGGCTTCTACTTCGAGTCCAAGTCTAAAGTCTAGGTTGTGTATAGCACAAAATAGACACTCATACCTACTGTATATTAAACACATATGCACACAATAATAAGCCCTGACAATACATTGATTATAGCCTATAGGAGTGTGGGCAGAGGATCCTGCTAAGACATACCTGGACAGAAACTGAGATAATAAATGTATATTGTTTTAAGCCCCTTTAAGCGCATGCGCG